CATCGTTATACGGTGCATATTATTTTCTAAAAAAACACATCGTTATGCGAATTCATCGCTAAACGAGGCAATCGTTAAGCGAGGCACCACTGTACATTATTTAACTATAAGCTCTTGCATGTTTAGAATGTAATTGAAACATTCTCATTGTTCCTTTTCTACGCTTAAAAATATGCTTCTGTATTTTAGAATTATTTTTAGAAGCATTTTGGGCCTACAATTTTTCTAAAGCTATAAGATTTTTGGCTGTTTTCAAATTCTGTCGTATTTTATGCATGCATTTCACTTCACCTATTGCCCAACACCTCCTCTTCCATCAAATTCATGCCACAACTCCATTACCATGTGTGGTACACTGTCACCAACAATGCCTGAGTCCCTACCCTCATCAGGAGGGGCTATGCAATGGAATTCAATTTATATTGAATTTATATTCAATATATAAATTTATATTGAATTTATATAGAATTTATATTCAATTTATATGGCCATCCCACAGATGAGAATCTTCCGAGTCACATTGTCAATCCCTCATCTGAAGGAAGAAGTCATCTCTTTATTACAAAAAAGTGCCATTAAAAGTATCCATCGTACCAGGTTCTTCTTCTACTTCACTGTTCCCAAGTGGATGGAGGCAAATCCATCCTGGACCTCTGTGGGGTGAACTAGTTCATTCATTCAGGGAGATTCTGAATGGTCACTTTCACCACATTTGTCCCATTCCTTTGCAACATAGCATGGTTTGTGTCAGTGGACCTTAGAGATGCATATTTTCACATCTTTATATGGCCATCCCACAGATGATATCTGAGGTTTGTCCTGGGATATAAACTCTACCAATTCAGAGTTCTCCTCTTTGACTTGATGACTCCTCCAACAATTTTTACAGAGTGAAAAGTCCCTGTTATGGCATCTCTGCATGAAAAGAATAATGGTTTCCCCATGATTTCACATAATCCACAATTCTCTGTGTCATCATGAACTATTGATTCCTCTAGGAAGGATTTATTTTGGACGCACTTGGTCGTGTGGTACAGGGAGTGAGCTCCTGCCAAACATCCTTAGCTATCAAACATTCTGTAATGTTGCTCTGTTTGTAAACATAGAAACTCATACATGTGAATTCATAGATCACTCAAAGAACCAGTTACAGCTGTAATCTGTCATTCTTCCCTGAAATAGTTAATGTTTTTTTCAAGCTTTACTGTAGTTATGATAATACAAATCATACCCATAATTGCTTGTCTGATTTACTCACAAAAATCCTCAATTACATTGCAACTTTTAATTGTTTCAGAGGACTGCTTATCATGAATAAAATCTCCAGATTGAGGAGAATGACTAGACATACTGTAAAAGTGGGTCTCAAAACACATGGAACTGTTGTTTGTTTTTCATTTCAGCATCCATTAGGCTCAATAAACCTCGCAAATTGCACTAATCGTCATATTGAACCAGCCAACAGAGAGTTCTGTGCCCGACCCAACACTTTTGAGTTAATTACTGTCCGACCACAGAGAGAAGATGACAAGGAAACACTGGTTAGCCAGTGCAAAGACACACTCTGTGTTACGAAGTAAGAAAATATGTGATGCATTTATCAATAGCGTAGAATTTCGGTACGCTGTTTTGCAAAGGTCTGAGTATACAGTTGAGTCTTATATAGACCACTATTTAATATTTTCAGTAGTAATATTGCTTTAAGAACAAATATTTAAAACAAAATACATTACAGAGTGAAAACAATTAAACTACAATAATAAAAATCCATTAAATAATTTAAAATATTTTTTTAAATGTTTAAAGTTTGAAGCAAACTACTGCCGTTCCTGTAGATCCTTTTGTATAATTAATAGGATACTTCTGTGTTGGAGTAGTTTCTAAAGTAATGCCATTGTCTTGCTTTCCCCCTATAAAATATGACCTGTGGATTAATCTTTGATCTCCTTTTATTCTTCCTTTTTAAAAGGAACTGGTTATCTGCCGATACTAAAGAGGAGCGTAATCTGTGGATGAAAAAACTCAATCAAGTTCTTGTTGACCTTCGCATGTGGCAGCCAGATGCTTGCTATGTTCCTATTGGAAAGCCTTGAATTTTGGGGAGGAATTCCCGCAAGAGCTTGCGTACAAAGTCAGATGCACATTATGTTGCTCTTTTACTACAGACCTTCAGAGAAGTTCTTTTGGGATTATTCATTACACTTCATGCTTTAAAATCTAGGAGGGTTATATGTACTACTGGACTCTTTGCTGCCTCTAGAGTTCTAACTCTTCTAGCATTGGAACATGTTAGGTAGCTGTTTTAAGCTCTTTCACTGTGCTAAATATTTTATATACATACCTACATACATATATATAAAATACTTTTTCAAGTGTGTAGTTAAGTTTACTATTAAAGTACCCATTTTATTAATTATCAAAGCTTTCTTTATTTCAAGACTGAAGAAATTAAGTATGGGGACAAAGGAAAGGGATCCTACTGAGATTTATCTGGACATATATTTTTCTTAACAGGAATGCCTTGACGTTTCTCATTTCTAGTGTTGAGCTGAAGCAGGAACATTGGTGTCCTGTGCATAAAAAGGCATTTTTTGGAAATGAAAATTGGCATTTTAGAAAGCATTTTTTGGTATTTAATGTTTTTGTACTTAGTATTTGTCAAGCGTACCTGTTTAGCATAAGGATGACATAGACCAGTCATAGATCCCAATAGCAAAGAAAACAATTGTTAACAAGAAAACAAATTGGTGCATGATTTTGCACATAATATGGATTACAGGTATGAGCAGTTATGCTGTAAATTGCACATGTTCCAGAATACAAGTATCTGGAATGTTTTCTTGAAGCTGCTTTAAAAAAATAAATGTTCACTATTCCCTTCTTTCCTTAGTCATATTTATTTCTTTCATATTTTGAATTTAAAACTTTTGCTGATCTTCAAACACTAGGGAACTGTACAATTTCCATTTAAACTATAAGATGCAAACTGATAGCCTGTATGCTCCATAGGCATTTATAACGGAATCTATTAGATCATTTCAGATAACTTTGGTCAAAGCTTGCTCTGTCAAATAGCAGGTACACAGCTTTCACAATGCTTTTTACTGGGCACCACTATGCACTATGCTGCTGCTGCAGCACATATCTTTAAGTATCATACAGAATACTTTCACTGAACTGCTATGCCTTCACAAACACTGATATTTTCCCCCTCTTCATCTTTTCTCTTATCACTTTCAATATTTGTTTTTTTCTTGATACTTTAAAATATGAACAAGATCTTTTCAGCACAAATAAAAAATATTTGTATATCAAAGAGATTGCCTACTGATGAGTGTGTTGTTTTAAAGTTATATATAGATACTCCATGACTTATTAGTTCAAGTTGTTGCATAAATTTCTCCAGATCGCCCCAGGTGTCACCAAAATTATATTTGGAGTTATTTGGTGGAAAATAAATATCAGAGAAGTATTACTATGGGTGACTAAGTTAGCTATCTCAACACATTGAAAGTTGGCTACATTGACTTCAGTACATTTGATGTCGTATTTGGTTGATAAATAAAATTATCAGGTATTCGCGAAGGCTTTCACGGCTGAGATCTAATGTTTGTTATCGGTTTTTTGGGTTCTTTGGCCGTGTTCTGAAGGTTGTTCTTCCTAACGTTTCGCCAGTCTCTGTGGCCGGCATCTTCAGAGGACAGCACTCTGTGCTCTGGTGTAGCTGGCTTGGGAGTGCAGTATTTATGGCTGTGAGATAGGCTTTTGTCTTTTTCTGTAGATGGGTGATTAGTGTGTCTTGTTGTGGGTGTATTGTTGTGCTAAGGAGAAGAGATCTGTCACTGTGGTTGATGGGTATCATTAGCTGGTCTTTTGTGTGTAGTGATCCCCTGTCCTTGTGGCTGGGTAGAGGATTAGGAAGAATGACCTTCAGAACATGGCCAAAGAACCCAAAAAACCCACAACAACCAAAATTATCAGGTCTGCACTTGGCCGACCATATTTTGCTAACTTTCAGGCAGGTTTCAGCCAGTAGTTATAGTCCTCAAGGGTGATATCAGATTGCTTAGAGCAAATCCAGGTTTCCTGGAGGCCAATAACATGGCATTTTTAAAGAAAGTGAATTACCTTCTTATCATGTATCTTATTTGGCAGTCCAGCCACATTCCAGGAGAACATTCTGAGACAAAGATCTAAAGTGGTGTCTGAGTTAAGCTTAGTAGATTGCTGAGGGCTCTTAACCAATGCTGTCTCTTCTGATGCTTCCTGCTGATTACACAGGAAAAGGATAGTAGTTGGTTTCTGTTACCTCGGTTTGTTACTTGGGGTTTTCTCCATCTCCCCGGTCTGCATTAGACATGCTGTTACTTTCTATTTCAGTGACATCATGTTCTTCATTATGACATCTAGTGTTAATTCCATATTGGCTGAACCGTTTTAGCAGATTGCATCTGGCTCATAGGGCATGGGTCTGTGGGTGCTAATTCATCTGGGTCTAAGTATCTCATAGCTACCCATAAGGAAGTAAAATATATTTGTCTATTGGAAATTGGGGTGGGGGGAAGATAGAAACAATCCAGAATAAATATCTGCGAGCTATCCTAGGCCTTCCTAAAGGAGCCGAGACCTGTATTCTCCAGTTGGAAGCAGGCCTTTGCACTGTGAAGGCTATAGCACACACGCATGCTATTAAATTCTGGCTGAAATTGAAAAAAGGGATAGGATAGGATCTAGTACTGGCTGCTTTTAAAGAGATGCTAAATTTTAACAATAGGACAATTTTATCTTGGAATCAGGATTTTTTTTTCAAATTATCAATACTGTATATATAGTCTTTCTCATGATCTTTTAAATGTTTTTAATTTAGAAATGGCAGCATGATAACTTGAAGTCTCATATTTTAAAATATGATTTTCGAGCTGACCATATTTCTGCCTGTCTGTCAAATGTGCACCTGGTATGCTAAGTTACCTATTCAAACACCCCACCCACATTATTTAACTAATACAGTGGTGTCTCGCTTTACAATTGAACCGCATTAGGATCGCAAAACAATGGGGGTTTTCGCTTTGCGATTATCGGTTCCCTGCTTCGGGAACTGATTCTTCACAAAACGACGATTTTAAAACAGCTGATTGGCGGTTTCAAAATGGCTGCCGAGTAAACAAAATGGCTCCCTGCTGTTTTCTGGGATGAATTCCTCGCAAGACAGGCAGTGAAAATGGCTGCCCTATGGAGGATCTTCGCTGGACGGTGAGTTTTGACCCCTTTGGAACGCACTGAAGGGGTTTCAATGGGGTTTTTTCGCTTTATGATGTTTTTGCTCAACGGTGATTTTCCTGGAACGGATTATCGTCGTTAAGCGAGGCACCACTGTACATCACATTTTAAATGGAGAAACACTTACGGTGTTGCATTGTCAGTCTATGAGTTCTGCAGTGGTTGAAGGATGTTACCAATAGATCCCCTTGGAGGAAAGAGTTTGCCCATGTGAAACTAATGCAGTTGAATAACCCACTATTTATTTGACTGCCCAATCTATAAAGATCAGAGAGTAGCTTTGTTCCAAGAGTTAGGTCTCACATTTGATAGATCTGGTGCATACTTGATAAATTTTCTATTGGGGGGATAAGGTGCCATACGTTTCTCAAAAGACTTTGCAATGGTTTTAAGAAGGAAGTTCTGTAGTTATAATGATCATGCTGTGACTGAGGATTGAACTGTTTCACATGATAATGTTTTTAGATGATTTTATTTGTATATTATATTTGATATTTTATCATTTTCAAACTTCTTTTGTAATGGCTACAGCTATACACAAATAAACTTGCTTTATTTAAAGTTATATACACATAGGGGCTTCAACCTAGCCACAAGATTTTATCTAGTGTGTCAAAAGGGAAGCTTCAAGGAGCAGCAATTCTCTCCTAAAGCAAGGCATAGGAACTTGTTTTAGAACATAGGAGGGAAAGTATATTTGGGAAGAGAATACATAGCTAGTGCTCAGGGGGCAAAATTGGTCCTCAGAGTTTGTTCACTCTTGCTTGTATCCAGATAAAAATTTGCCAGAATATTACTTGATTGGGCACACAAAGCAGTCATCCCTTGTTCCAAGAGTGACTGTAGATAGGGAAAAAACAAAAACAGCATTTTTTGTGTGTGTAGAATAATATGACTGTTTTCAATGTTTATTTGAGGGAATGAATTATTTAATTCACTGTTGAATTAAATTGGGAGTTGGTTTGAGGTTTTAAAATTTTATTTAGCATCACATGAGTTTTGTGTCCGTATATGCATCCTCGTGGAATAACTTTTAGTCTGGTTGTAAGCTTTGTCATATCCTCTGGATCCCATTTTTTCCTCAGTATCAGGAACTTAATTCTTCACTTCAACCGTACCTTGTGCATTTCTTGAAGCTGAGCTTGCCTGAGACAGCTGATGCCTGAGCAACTTTTATTCAGCAACCTACAAGACTCCACATCATATCCAAAGACATAATAGTTCTGTACGGCCATTGTGTTATTTTGTGTTTTGAGTGGAGAATTATTTATCACTGGTCTAAATCGCCTTTTTTAATATTTACTTTTTAAATATAAGTTTTGAACTGGCACAATGATGCATTGCTAAAATAGAAGCAGATGGGGGGAAAGAAATCAACCATTGGACTTGGCACCTGAAACTCAGCAAAAACCCCACACTTTCAGCACAGACTAAAATAAGTTTATTTTAGTGTGACCAGAATTGATTTAAAATAACTCCTATGTAGGGGTTTAAGAAAACTCACTTCCTGGCAAAAAAAGGCATACTTTTTGTAACTGGAGATTATTAATTCACTTTCAAGTGTGTCAAACCTGATACAAAAAGAGGAGCATTGTGACATGTAGTCAAGCTCCAAGTAAGAACAACTAACATGAGCAGGATTCATTCTGTGAATGTTGTTGTTTAGTCACTTAGTCATGTCTGACTTTCATGACCCCATGGACCAGAGCATGCCAGGCTCTCCTGTCTTCCACTGCCCCCCAGAGTTGGGTCAAATTCATGTTGGTAGCTTCAATGACACTGTCCAACCATCTTGTCCTCTGTCATCCCCTTCTCCTCTTGTCTTCACACTTTCCCAACATCAGGGTCTTTTCCAGGGAGTCTTATCTTCTCATGAGAATTCTTTGAATACAGTGTAGGATTTTAAAAGATACTGTTTTAGTAGGGGCAAAACAAGGCCTCTGTCCTCAACATTGGGTAGCCCACTCTGAATCACCAACATGGGTACACAGTTGATTTCTTGCCCCAAGAAAAGTACTTGTTATTGCCCAACTAAATAACTTTCAATAAAAGTTAAAAAGACTAAAAATTATAACAAGGAACCACTACTCTGGAGAGAGAACCAACCAGGAACCAAGATAGCTACCTAACCCAGAATCTCCTCTGTCATAGCAAAATTAAATCTAACAAAGGGAAAAACCAAAAAGAAAACATAAAGACATGCGCAAACATAGCAAATATAGAGGCATAAGGAAGAAATATATCAGACCACTGCAACATCAAAGGGAAAACATCTGGATACATATTTAACCTTTAAATCTTCACAAAACATCCTAGAGGGTTCAGAAAGGGGCAAACATTGAAGCAGATTCAGTGTTGGACACAATAGAACAACTACAACTTGAGAGTCGGGAATGGACTGTGGTAATTAATGCATAATAAGCAAAAATTGAGGAATTTACAACAGGAGTCACATCTACTGCCCAAAAAATAATTATGTGACTAAAATAAGGAATACTGTCAAGCATAGGCATAGCATAGGCATCCTTCAATCTCGAGAGACTATGGTAACATGCTCTGAATTGAGGAGTGTCCTCTCCAGAGCATGAAGCCCGGGTAAGGTAATAAGGAGGATAGGCTGTTACCCAAGCAGCAGATCCCCCCTCTCCACATTGCTGAAATGGTCCAATGGAAAGGCAAGAGCCAATACAACTGGTTCCAGCAATGTCGCAGGAGTTGGCACAACGACACATGCTGCCTTCGGGACTCCAGCTCCGGATTTTGCCTTGAGGTTAACTCCTGAAGCCTTTTCCATGAGTGGATATAGCCACAAGGCAGTGGAGGTTTGAAATCAGAGTTTTCCTTCTCCTAGATGGGCTGCCTTCCATGGCTGACGAGCCCCACCTAGAGGTGGGGCTCTATGAAGAATGATGTAGATATATGTGCCTATGGTACAAAAATCACAAGCAAGTAGTCCCTACTAGAGATGGGCACAAATTGGTTCAGTCCGCTCTGTCAGTTGGGGTAGGATTTGGCAATAGGATGAAAGAACTTGGAGTACATATGGGCAGAAAGGTGGTATAGGAAGTTTTAATTTAGAGCAATGATGGAAAATAATAGTAATCAGAAAACACATTTCACTACAGAAAAGACCACATTTTTATATGTGTCAAAAGAACTTGACATGGTGGCAAACTTTAATACTGACCTCAAAGGAAGAAGAAAAGCAAATGTGCACTACATGTATCTGTTCAGCATGTGTTGTTTTAAAGTATTATCAAGCTGCTTTGAACTTATGGAGACCCTATGAACATAGACCTCCAGAAGATCCTATCATTAACAGCCTTGCTCAGAAGAAGAATCCACATGATACAGGTTTTGCTGTTCACCATGTAAAAAAGATGCTGGGAGTCATGTGATTCCTAAGTTGCTGGAAGGCTTCCCTGTGACTGAGTTTTTTTCCCTGACTTCATTCAAATCAGAGATCTCTATGTTGCTGCTGTCATTATTGTTTAATAATCTTTACAACAACCTTGAAAGGTAACTCAGGAAGGAAGAAACACATAGTGCAATTTTCCTTATGACCACATGGTTTCAGAATGCACATGGAAGGCAGCACCTACGTATTTACAAGTTTTTCTGTCCTAGAGTTCCCCTGTGCATGGAAAGCTGGATAAACTAGAAGTCTTCTCTTTGATTTTGTATACATGTTCATTCATAGGTAGCACTGTCCCATGACATACCATTAGGTTAGTCTGCTAGAAATTTGTACTGAATTTTGGCCTGCAAAGAACAAAAAAATTGCAGCCTATTCACATATTGGAAGTATTTGAAAGAACTTGAATACAATATAAGAATCTGAAGTGAAATAGACAATTAGTAATATTAAAGTTCAGGAGATCTGATTGCTAGGTGGTGGTAGTAGCTGTACCTGTAGTTGTGGCAGTTATTATCATTGTTATTATTAACAACATCCTACTTTTGTTACAAAAAAGGATATGTTATCTACCGTAACTGTAGTTTTTCAAGTGGTCATCTGTGAAC